CAATGCAGCGCAATGACATACAAACGCAATGCAACGCAGTGCGAATGAATGCTACGCAGGCCAATGCAATGCAGTGCAATGCAGAGCAATGCAACACGACGTAACACGATGTAGCGGAATGCAAAGCAAAGGAATGCAAAGCAAAGCAAAGCAAAGCAAAGCAAGGTATTGCAGTTGAGTGCGAACCAGTGCAATGGAACGCACTGCAGAGCACCGCTAAGCACTTCGAAGCGCTGCAACGCATTGCCGTGCAATGCATGGCCATTCAAACCAACGCACAGCAACGCAGCGCAACGCAATGCAAAGCAACGCACTGCAACGCAATGCGATGACAACGAGGCGACGGTCGGCGAGAAGCCATCCCGACCGCCACCGATGCCCAGCGGCGACGGCGGCGACGTGCGGCCACGAGCCGGCCACGAGCCGGCCAGAGCAGCATGTTATCTCAGAAGCGAAGTCAGACACCCCACGTGCCAGCACTTCCTTTTCAAAAGGGGCTCGGTCGTTCCTTGGGTTTGCATGCGTTCTGCTGCCTTTTTGGCGGCGAGCCCCCCTGGTGTTCCGTCGGACTTCGTAGACTCACTTGGAACGACAAGGGGCTCCGTTCCTTATCTATCGTTCCTTAGGTCAGGCCGATGACTGTAGTAAGTAAGTGAGTGGATCATTCGAGGTGGTTCGACGGATGTAGACGGGTTCCCCGATAGTTTTCCCGTCGTTGGTTCCACTCGCCGACCTCATTTTCGGCCTCTGACGGGTATCGTAACAAGTATCAAACGCAGTTTCGTTTTCAAGCCAGTTTGTCTCACCACGTACCGCTTTCAATACAGATTGCTGTTGTGCGATTCTGGCGTGCGGGCATGTGCAACTCGCCTCTTGTGGCATGATGGGAGTATAACACATTCAAACGGAGAGATCCATGCATGGTCGCTGGGTGATCCTAGTTGTGAGGCTGGTGATCGTTTCGATCGCGCGCGTGCCCCGCATGGTATTACGTGGCATTGTAAGTGTCCGAGTGCGTCCCGCGTTGCAGTATTTGGTAAGGAGAGTCCTCTGGATCGGATGCAGTCAGGTGTGGTCCCGGTTGGTTGGAGAGGATGGTATTTCTCGGCTAGACGTAAGAGTGACCTTTCGCCGGAGTGACCTTTGGTGCGGGCACAGATGGGTCCCCAGATGGCTGAAAACCAAGCAGGAGTAACGGCTTGCGCGCCCAGGTTTGGTCCCCACGCGGCCCCCAAAAAGCCGCGCACCAAAGGTCACTCTTACCCAGGGTCACTCTTGCGTGTAGCCGGATTTCAGGTAAGGCTGAAGGTTGAAGGAAGGCGGGGGGGACAAGTGAGGGAGGAGAGGTTGAAAGGAGGTGGAGGAGGAGGAGGGGAGGGAGAGCGATCAGAAGGAGGGAGCGGGGAATAATGGAAGGGGAGGAAAAGCACGAGAGGGGGAGAAGGAGGAGAAGGGTAGGGCTGGCGAGGAGGAGGAGCAGGAGGAGGAGGAGGAGGAGGAGGAGGAGGAGAGGACGAGGTGGAGGATGGAAAGGGGGAGGAGACGAGCAGGAGAGGGTGGATGAGGATGAGAGGAATGGGGGAGGAGGGGGGGGAAGGGGGGGAGGAACAGGAGTCTACAGGATTTCACAAGTCAAACCTCCAGAGACTCGAGGCTCGAGTATCGGCGACGGTCGACGACTGCACCTACCCCCAAGCCTCTCCAGAGCGACATAGGTGTGGCCTTGACGAGAGCTCTCCTCGAGGTGGGTGCCCATCTGAGCGCTCTCGCACGATTGGTGACGGCGCTGGCCCCCTGCCATTCTCTTGGCCTCCTCTTCCAAGCCTCCGCATCCTCGGCCAGCCACTTCGCGCTTGAGCGACTCCCAGCACTGTAGCTGATGCTGCTTCGCCCCTGTTTCCATGTGCACGCCTTCTCGCGGCCTGCTGCCAGGCTGCCGTCGCGGACGAAGTGCTCCTCGATTCGGCGTCTCCCGCGCGAATTGGCCCCAGCATTGTAGCTGATGACGTTGGCTCGCGCGTTCTCGCCGTACCCACGCGCATTGGTCCCGGCCCTGTAGCTGGTAGTCCGCACGGGCTCGTTGTCGTAGCACGTTCGGTTCCCAGCGTTGTAGCAGATGGTGTCGGCCCGTGCCTCGCTCCTCGCATTGTAGCATGCGGTGTGTAGCCAGTTCCTGCGGCTATTGCCTGCCTTCTCGCATTGGCAACCACGGCTGCCTCTGCCAGCTCTCTCGCACCGACGGTCCACGCTGACTTTGCCTGGCTTCTCGCACAAGCTGGCCATAGTAGTGTTGTAGCTGACGATGCGTAACTCATTCCAGTGACTGCATTCTCGCAAATTCAGCCGCCGCTGACACTGCCTGGCTTCTAGCACCGACAGCCCACGCTGTCGTTGCCTGGCTTCTCGCACGAGCTGGCCCCAGCAGCTTTGTAGCTGGTGACGTGTAGCTCGCCGTGCTGCCACCACCTGTCTTCTTGCACCAGCAGCCCTGGCTGCCACTGCCTGCTTTCTCGCACTTCCAGTTCTGTAGCCGATCGCCGCTGGCTCCTGCTCCACTTTCTGACGGTGGCGGCGGTGAATGGTCCAACTGTCGCAGTTGCCGGCCTTCTCGCATTGCTAGTCCGTGTTGCCGTGTTGCCACTTGTTGCCTTCTCGCACGAGTGCCTCAATGCAGCTGATGACATTTGGGTCTTGCGTCCCCAGTTGGCTTCGACAACCGTTTCACGAGCTGGTCCCTGCGCTGAAGCTGAAGATTATGCGTGTCTTGAGAGTGGAATCCTGCACTACTGCAGCGGCCCAGCATCGGCGATTGGAGGGATAGCGGAAGGAGGGAGGGGGTAAGATGAGGAGATGGAGGCGGAGGGGAGGAGGGGCGAGGGGCAAGGGACAGGGGGGGAGGAGGGAGACGAGGAGATGGCCATGAGTGGGACGAGGTCGATGGACGGAGGAGAAACGAAGGATGGGGGAACGGTGGATGGGGGGAAGCGAGGAGGGAGGACGACGGAGGCAGGAGGGAGGAGGGAGGAGGGAGGAGGCAGGAGGCGACGGAGGCAGGAGGGAGGTGGGAGGAGGGAGGAGGCGGCGAAGGGGCAGCAGCACGAGGAGGACCGCGAAGAGAAAGAAGCGGAGCCCTCCCACTCCTGACCTGCCGCAGCTCGCCGCGCGGCGAGCCCGCGCCTGGAAAAATCCGAGCGCAGGGCACCGCACGGGGCGGCACGCGCGCCGTGCGGCCCCCGCCGAGCCTCCACGCGCGCGGCGGGGCGCGCGAAGCAGCGCCGCGCGCGCGGCGCCGCACGCGCGCGCGGCTCGGCGCTCGGCGCGGCGCGGCGCGCGGCGCGCACGCGGCACGCAGCGCGCTCGCGGCACGGCGCGGCACGAGGTGTACGCGGCACGCACGCGCTCGCGGCGCGGCGCGGCGTGCTGCACCGCCGGCAGCCGCCGGTCGGCTCGTTTTACTTGCGACGGGCTCGTGACCCTGCCGGCGCGACGGCGGCCCCCCGGCGCGGGCGGTGGAGGTGGAGCGCCGCCAGTGTGCCGGAATCGGCGGGCATCGAAGCGCTGTCGCGCTGTCGCGATGTCGCGATCGCTCCAGGTGTAGTGATCCACGCGGCGCCAGACACCAACGCAGAGGAAAGCACGCCACGAGTTTGCCGTGCCACCTGACCAGCTGTCGCCAGGTCACCGAGTGCTCTCGTTGCCTGGGCCGGATACCTCTTCCTCATCTCCTTCCAGGCCTCTGAGCCCATGCGACGGCTTCTGTATGCGACGGCTTCTGTCATCTCCTTCCTGGGACACTGTATCGCGCGTGCGACGGCTTCTGTATGAACATCTCCGGCACCACGGTGTAAGGGCCCCGGCCCGTCCGCGCCGACCCTCAAGGGTCCCGCTCCGGCGGACTTGCGCGCTTCGCTTCGCTTCGCTTCCAGGCCTCTGAGCCCAACCTGCTTGGCGACTGGCTCGATCCCTGGCCATCCAAGCGCGGGAGCCCTCGGCCCTCGACCTCTCGAAAGAGCGGGGGCCTGACGAGTTCCAGACAGGACGGGGTAAAGTAGGAAGGGCGGCACATCCGATGAGGGGATGGAGGGGAGGGCGGAAAGGAGGAAATGGCATAGGGTGAGGGGGCCTGACGAGTTCCAGACAGGACGGGATAAAGTAGGAAGGGCGGCACATCCGATGAGGGGATGGAGGGGAGGGCGGAAAGGAGGAAATGGGATAGGGGGAGGGAGGGCTGGCAGGCCGGGGGGTGCGAGAGGTGAGGGCAGGGAGGCGATTCTGATGGATGGGGCTGGTGGGGGGAGGGGAAGCTGGCGGGAAGGTGGGGGGGAGCGAGGAGGGAAATGGCAGGCGAAGTGCTTCTAGCGTGATGATCAAGAAGGGGCTGTAAGGGAGCGGGAGAAGGAGGAAGAGGAGGTGGAGGAGGAGGAGGAGGGGACGGAGGAGGAGGAGGAGGAGGAGGAAGAGGAGGACGAGGATGAAGAGGAGGAGGAGATGGAGGCGGGAACGGAGGAGGCAAGGGGGACAGAAAAACACAAACGCAGAGAGATGGAGAGAGGAGGTGGAGGAGGACGCTGCTGCCACCGAGGTGGAGGGAGGGAGCGAGGGAGGAGGAGGAAGAGGAGGAGGAGGAGGAGAGGGAGGACGGACGGAAGAGGAGGAGGAGGAGGAGGAGGAGGGGGAGGAGGAGGAGGAAGAAGAGGAGGAGGAGCATGAGGAGGAGAAGGAGGAGGAGGAGGCAAGGGATGAGGAGGGATGGAAGAGGCGGAGGCAAGGGATGAGGAGGCGAGGGAGGAGGAGGCGGAGGCCAGGGAGGCGGAGGAGGAGGAGGAGGAGGAGGGAGGGAGCGAGGGAGGAGGAGAGATGGAGAGGGAAGGAAACAAGGAGGGACAGTGAAAAACATAGACAGCGCAGGCAAACTGCTGCAAGCGAAGGCGGACATGCCAATACTTGTGTGTAACGTTTTCGTTGGGCGTCCCCGTGCCAAGTCACTCAATGAATTGCAGGCCCGCCGCTTGCTTGACATGGGCTTCGAGCCGTAGATCAGGACCCAATCCCGCCGTGTCTACCATTGGCTTGCCTTCCATAATTCAGTTCACGTCGCCTGGCGTTGTCGATTCGGCGCCCTCGATACCCCTCTCCCTATATATGAACATCTAGGTTTTTGTCTATATCTCTGCCTCGTTCTCTCGTTCTCTCTTTCCTTGTCACTCTACATCTCTCTCTGTATCCCTTTCTCTTTCTATATCGTTTAGTTTGTTCTCTTTCCCTCTACCAATGTGCAAGCAGGCATCTGTATCTCCATGGTCCTCCCCCACCCCCCACCCCCTCCGCTTGCCTCTCCCTCAGCTCTCCGCACTCTGTCCTTTTTGCACCATCCTCATACATATTATTCTCTCCGCTTGCTCGACCTGCGGCTCTCGAATTGGACTGGCTGGGCTGCGTGAGGCATCGTCTTCTATTCGTTGATTCGTTTTCCGCTGAAGTGAGGCAGGTGTGAATTATCATCGGCACCTCCCCTTAGCTGCGGTGGAATCTACTCCGCGCTGGCGTCTTCGGGACAGCGATGCGCACAGACGCCACGCAGCCTTCCCGGCAGTTTTTCGTGAGCCCACTAACAAGTGAAGAGCCACGTCGGGCACCCTCTCCCTCAACCGCGCCTGTGGGGTCCAGCGTGCCTTGAGTCACTTTGTGCCCACCACCGCCACCAGCCCGTACCGCCAAGACAGCCAGCCAGTTCCACCCCCCCATGCAAGCCGAGGTCACCCCCTCTCCTCGCGCCGACCAAATGCCAGCTCCAAGGCGCTGCGGCCACGCACGGCAGCAGCGCGGCAGAGTCAGGCCAGCGGTCGAGCGCGGAAGTGGGCGCGCGGGCGGGCCCAGCTTCACAGCGGCAGAGGTGCGCCGGGTCCACCCGTCGGGAATTGCGCCCAAGCAGAAACGCACACGGAGCAACACAGACGTACCCAAGCAAGGACCGAACTTTTTTTCGGATGTCACCAGAGAGCGCCATGACGCTTGCGACGTGTCCCGAGATGTTTGTCCGAGTGCCACCTCCCTCCCTCCGCCTGGGCCGCAGGAGGCCTCGCCCTCCCTCTCTCTCCCTCCCACGCTTCCTCTCCCTCCTCCCTTTCTCCGTCCCTTCTCAACCCTCCCTCCCGCCGCCCCTCCTCCAAACTCCTCGGAACTACTCGCGCTTCGCAAACCAAAAAAACACGAAGGGAGGATGTTTCTACATGCTCGTCTTCCGGGAACCCTCACCACGCCCAGGGGCCTCCAAACATGCATTCGGGAAAGCAAACTTGGCCCATGGAAAGTTGTCTAGTCCTTCTGGGATCAGCTTTGCATGAAACGCGGCGTCGGAGATCTTGGTGCTTCCCTTCCATCTTCCCTCCTTCCTCCCCTTGACTGTCGCGTTCAAGGAGTGCTGTGCTTCCCCAGCTTTCGCCTGCGTGCTCGGCACTCGTGTGGATCGCAAGTCCGATCCGACGCTCCCAACTCGTTTCTTTCCTCCTTCCTCTCCTCCCATCCTCCTTCCGCCCGTCGGCCTTCACTCCTCCCCTCGCCTCCGTCCCGCCCAGCCTCCTCCCAACGCCATCCCCTCCGCCTCTCCCTCTCGTCCTCCCCTCCCTCCCCCCGTCCTCCTTTCGCCTCCGTCCCTTCCTCTCCCCCCCCCCCCCCCCCCCACGACCCCCTCTCCTCCTCCACTCCCTCCCACCACGGCCGCCCCCTCCCCCCCTTCCCTCCCTCGGTGACTCGCCCCCCCTCCTTCCCCTCCCCCTCCCCTTCTCCCCCTCTCCCCCCTTCCCCCCCTCTCCCCTGCCTTCCCCTCTCTCCCCCTTCCCTCCCCCCCCCCTCCCTCCCCCCCTCCGCCCCCGCCCCGGCCACAGGAGGCGGAGCGGCCGCCGCGGCGCGAGCACCCAGGCGGCAGGGGATGCCGCGCAGGGCGCCGCGCCTCATGCTCGTCGTCGTCGTCGTCGTCGTCGTCGTCCTCGTCGTCGTCGTCGTCGTCGTAGTCGTCGTCGTAGTCGTCGTCGTCGTCGTCGTCGTCGTCGTCGTCGTCGTCGTCGTCGTCGTCGTCGTCGTCGTCGTCGTCATCCTCGTCGTCGTTGGCATCGTCCTCCGCCTTTTCTCCCGTCCCCCTTCCAAATCCTCGATCTGCTCTCTGGACCTCTGAGAGCCTGGTCTGTTTCGAGGGGAACAGTGGGATCCGACCCCCCAGAAGAGGGAGTCTTCGCACGAGTCACCAATGGAGCATGTTGCGCACCATGGTAACCAGAAAACGAAAGCTCAGGGGGTACGCGTAAGGGATTCCAGGAGATGCCCAGCGAGGTAAACACAAGTTCCCGCTGTCTCAGAGCTAAGCGTGCACAGAGAAACTACGATCCACTACTCAAATCTGGTACTACGTACGGTCCTCCTCTTTCTTCTTCTGTTCCCCACCCAATCCCACACTGTGGTCTGAAACACTGTAATGTCAGGTGGTCTTTTTTTATTCCTTGTTTTGCTGATCGGCGCGGGCCCTCGCACCCCCCCCCTCCCCCCCCATGTTTCGAGCGGGTGGAGTCTCTGTCACCCAGCGGCAGCACTCTTGCAGACAGTCGCACTAAGCAGGGGTCCGGAGCCAGACCCCCCCCCCTCCCCCCCCCTTCCGCCCAATTTCGAAACGCCGAATCAAAAAAACGCTCACCAGGCTGATTCCTTCGAGCGGCTATGCGCTTGACTGAAGAGTGTTTGCTGCCTTTGGCGATTATTTTTCTAAGCCTTAATCGGGGGATGGGCTCTCAATGTCCAAAGGAGGCGTCGCTGGTCTAAAATCCCTTTGCACGTTGCCCCATCCGTTGCCATATTGGCGAATGTGGCTTCGCTTTCGGAAAGCGGTATTGCGTTTCCATGATTTGCGTCATGTGGCGAATGCCATTGACCTAGTGTTGTCGGCACATTGCGTACCGTACGTGTGGCCTATAACTTAGACTTTGTACATCTGGGCACGTAGCATACCATGGATCCTCCTCGCTGGTGCACGCGCGTGAATTTATCAGTCCAAGGCGTTTGTACATACGTGCGTCCAAATCTTCACGTAGCATGCGCTTGTGCGTGTGCATGCGTAGATATAGGCACACCTCGCTTCCGCCAGTTAGGATTGCCAACGCGTTTTTGCAAGACCTTGAGATGTGCCAGTTTGGGAGCCTTGCGGAGCAACACATCCTTCGATTGTGAGTGATGTGCAGACAGGTCTGCCGAAGGCAGGGAGCGCCGGCGTTCCCTGATGCCTCACCAGTGGAGCGGGTTGGGCTGGTGGAGTATTCGCGGAAGATTCTTTGGACGTGAGCTTGTTTGCTTTGCACTCGCAAGACCCGGATAGCACCGACGGACAGCACGTCGCCGCGGTGCGCCAGATGCGGCGGGCGAGCCATCATTGCACAAGCGTCACGCCAGGGACGAAGTACAGGGTAGTAAAGTAAAGCGGAACGAAGGGCACAGAGGCAACGGGCATGCGGAAGAGGTCGAGGTGAGGGGGATGTCGCGACAGAAGGGAGAGAGATAGGAAGGGCGAGTCAGGGAGAGGGAGCGAGACGGAGAGAGAGATGGAGAGAGAGAGGCGGAGAACAGTAGAGAGAGAGAGGAAGATAAACATGTACCGATGGGAAGAGAGAGAGAGAGTGTGTGTGCGTGAAGATATAAGATATGAGAAACAGGGGGGGGAGTGGTATGAATATATATATATATATATATAGGGTTAGAATGAGAGAGATAGAAATAGCGAGTGTGGCAGACTATATCGTATATACTAGAGAGAAGACAGGAGAGAGACGATTGAAGAGAAACAGAGGCGTGATAATAATGACCAGTGGAAGGTGAGAAGAGAGAAATCGAGAGAGAGAGAGAGAGTCGGGGAGAAGCGAGGAGGCAGAAAAGGAGCACGACAAGGAGAGGAAGCGGCTCGCGTGCAGCCCACGCGGCCCAATGCGCGGCCTCCGTCGCGGCAGCGCCGTGTCCCCTCGCCTCTCATGGAAGAGAGGCGGCTGGGCGCCGCAGCCTGCAGCAGCGACCCAACACCGTTCTCCCTCCCTCCCCTCCCTGCTTCCAGCCACGCGCAGGGGGGGGCATCGGGGGAGGGGGGACGGCTTCTCAGAAGCAACCTCCTTCTAAGAAGCCTTCCACCCCTCCCACTACCCCCTCTGCCCTCCTCCTCATCCTCCTTCCTCCTCCTCCTCCTCCTCCTCCTCCTCCTCCTCCTCCTCCTCTCCTCTCTCCTCTCTCCTCTCTGCGCCTCCTCCTCGTCCTCCGTAGCCATTTGGGCTCAAGAATTTTCTTTTGCCACGAGCCTGCCCTGCCTGCACCAGTGCTTTCTCCGCAGGGCCTACCTCCATGGGAAGCACGCGCGTTACGATACGACACGGTGAGATGATTGCTCAGTGCTCACCTGTTCAAGTCTGGGGCGTGGTGGCTGGCCTCCAGCCGCGGTCCCGCTGCACTAGTTCCCTGATCTCGGGCGGGAAGTTTCCGGAATTATCACCGCGGCGGCTGCCATCACCGCCGCTCAGGGGCGAGCTACTACGTGCAAAGGCCTTGTTCGGCTTCGTGGTGCAGGTGTTCGTCTTCCCCCCGCCTTACTCGCGATGTCCGCAGCGCGGATGTTGCCGCTGCATTGCTTCGTCATCCTGGAGCTGCCGATGCTGTTCTCGGACAGTTGCATGAGTTTCTTAGCGTGCTCGGGGTGGCGAGCCTGGCCAAGGACGTGCCGAACGAGTCCGATAGCAACGGCAGCGCGAGTCACGCTGTGCACGAGTCGGACAGCGGGTTCGCTACTTGCAAGGCCTTCAACATCGACAGCGATGACTTCATAGAGTACGAGTCCACGTACTTCAGCGGCACACCACCGACCCAGGCCACGCAGGAGTTCATTGAGAGCGGACGCAAACCCTCGATAGCATCCCACCCAATGCGAGCTCTCACCTCGTCATGGCCGCAGGTGGCGACGCGCCGATGAGCCCTGCTCGCTTTGGAGTGTGGCGCTTC